ACGGCAAGCCGGTTTGCGAGTCCCTCATCATTGTCCAGTACATCGACGACACCTGGGGTTGTGAGTCCCCTCTCTTGCCTTCAGATCCTCACGAGCACGCCCGTGCCAGGTTCTAGGCCGACTATGCGGACAAGATAAGATGACCGACGCCCGATCTTTCGAACATATCTTTCCCTAGGTGCGCTTAACGTCGAGGTACGAAAAGACAGTGCAGATATTCCCAGCGGCGCGAGCGGCATTGCTGTCGACGGGGGAGGCCCAGGAAGCGGCGAAGAAGGAGTACATCGAGGGCTTGAGGGTGCTGGAGGGAGAGCTTGGGGACAAGGCATACTTTGGAGATGAGAGGTTTGGGTATGTGGATGTGTCGCTGATACCACTGTACAACTCATTCTATGCTCTGGAGAAATTGGCCGACTGCAGCGTGGCGGTGGAGTTCCCCAAGCTGGTGGGGTGGGCAAAACGAGTCGAACACGAACTAATCGAGCTACATGTCGAGCCACGTGTCGAACCACGAAAGGGCCCTCAATGTCCTTTTGTTGTTTTTATATTAAAATCTCATCTAAACACATCTTAAATGAATGGATTGTTGACACCTAAATGATAATTTTCTTGTGATAAGCATTTGCATCCATTTGATTCGTTTTGGCCTCCAAATGATGATTTGCTTATGATAGGATATACATGTCATATATTTAATCGATGAGTAACTGTTTGAGCACATGGATGAGTTAGACATAGAAAGAATTTGACTTCATTTGGGTGCTCTGTTGATCACCGGTGAAACCATATTGCTATTGTGATAGTTTCCCATCGTTTTCACGTGTTTTATGCCCTTTGTTGCATGACATAAAGGCTGTGCACGCTGCTGTCCAGGATCATTTTAAACTTTAATGAAGTTTGTTTGGCTTCATTTACATGCTTATTGACTCCTATGAGCTCATACGTTGACATAGGTAAGCATTTGACTTGAATCATGTTACTTTCTTGTCGAATTAATGCATGCATGTGTCTTGTATTGGGTAAAACACGCTTTCGTGCTCGGAGATAAGTTTCTGCATTATGTGAGAAGAGAGTTGTATTTGGAGAACAATGATAATCAGAACAACATTGGATTAACGCAGTAGAACAAAACACTCTCCCCTCTTGTGCAAACCTCATACGAAACAACTAAATGGAGCAATATAGATACCAAACATCCATAAACACAAGGCGAATTTTTTACGTGGAAAACCTCTTCGGTATGAGGAGATAAAAAATCACGGGACCGGAGTCCATCCAAAAATCTTCACTATCAATAAAATTGGGTGAACAAAGTTCTTCTCTAGTTAATACTAGGGTACATAGCAACAATAATATCAAGAACACCATTATTGGCAATACACATGATCTTTATAAGAGATCAAGGATAAATCTCTCAAAACACAGGTTCGGTTTAATCCACGGAAAACCTGATATAGGGAGTTGCAAATAAGAATCAAAATTATCAGATTTGAGAAGAATGCGTCATGAGCATGCTAAGACAATTTTAGCTCAATCAGACACCGAATCGACCTCTGATGTTAGCTTGATGAAAACCAGCTATTGCCATCTTTCCCAGATTTTCTGCACTCTCTTTCTCTCTTGCTACTACATCTTGACCAACATTCTTTTTGCTGCTACAACATAATAATGGTGAAAAACCTTATTTCTCCATATAAATTATCATATGAACTCAAGTCTTTGCTTACAATTCATTGGGCTTTCTCCACATTGGAGTGAACATAGCCAAAAAGAGGCATATGATCTTCTTAGCTTCTTTGTTTTTGGAACTTACTTCTTTGTTCTTGGTTTAAATCTGTTGCTTTTGTGGGAATCTCTCCGTCTTCTTTTTTTTTTTCTCCCTCTCTCTGTTTTTTGGTCGTTGCTTTGGTTTCTTAGCTTAATTTGTAAATTCAGGAGAAGATAGTGTGAAATATAGTATAAGTTGTTCGTAAAACAAACTAAGAGGTGCATTGTCCCACATCGAAAAAATGTGAGTGCGCATGTGGACAAATTTTTTTATTTATTAATTTTCAAATTATTATTATAAAATAATTATTTTGTCTTATTGAAACAGTATGACTGTTCACAATTGAGTGACGGTTATTTATTAATAATTTAATTTTGAATTTATTATTTTTGCCTAACGGTTAATATGTGTTCTTACAACCTTTGGAAGGTTGTATCTATTCGGACATATCTCCTTAACCTTTGAAATGTTGTGTCTGTTTGGACATAATTTCTTTATCTTTGAAAGATTGTATTTGTTCAAATATATTTATTCAATAATTCTGTTCATTACTTTGAACTTCCAATTTCGCTTTCTTTCAAGAGACATATCGCCATATTTTCCAATTGTTTACCTTGAGAGAACCTGGAGAAGTACCATAATTGCTCTGTGGTATTCTCATTCGAGACTTTATTGTATCTTGGAGAATTTTTTCTAGTAATCATTAACAACGTTGTGGGATAAATAATTCTTTAAAAAGAGTGTTACCACGCCTCAAAATCTGATTCCATTGATTTTCCCAATTCACATTGATTTTTTGCCAACAAAAGTTCCTTTTTCTTTTTCTTCTTTTGCCGACAGAGAAAGACCATCAAATTCAAAAATGGCTAAGTTTTGTTTTCCTTGCTAGATTAATCCTTAGAAAGTACCATGGTGAGCTTGAAATTGTCCTTTTCTTCTTCATAACTGCACAAGTATGCTTAGATGGCATTGCCTGATTGTGTCCTGGAGTAGTAGATCCACAAAGAGAGAGAGAACTAAAAACCCGAACAGCCCCGAACTGCTTTTTGGGTTCAGGTATTCTCAGTTAATGTCATAATAAACACACATCCCTTACGTTACGTATCATGGAAATCCGACCGGACTTGAACCGTTGACACCCCTACTTAACATAGGTGTGCATTGGGCTTGATCCATCTAAGTTTCTTATCAAATTAATGCATGTGAGGGCCTTTTATTGCTTGCTCTCGGCCTGGAGCTTGCCGTTCAGTCCATGAACAGCCAGCTTTAGCCTTCATTTGAGCCACACAATATACCTTGAGTCGGCCTTGATCGGATAGCATAGCCTAGTGACGCGTCGGGATATTTATCGATGTGTTTTAGTGCTATTTAGCTTCATTTCATTATGGTTATTCGGATCAAAGTACCGGCGGGAGACCAATCGGCCTGGCCTCCTCAGATACCGAATCATGATTGATTCAGGTTGGATCATCGAATCATGGTTGGTTTGGGTTTGACCGCCAAACCATGGCTGATTTGGGTATGATGGGGAGCGGTTGAAAGTCGTGAGCGGTTTCGGTGGCTCGGGATCATGTTTTGGTGTCATTAGGAATGCATTGATGTCGAATATGCATGGTTGCTTTAGTTAGTGTATCTGATGCCATCTATGTGTTTAAATGGGTTATCATCCCTAAATAGCTTGCTAGTTTGTCTTTGAGTGTGGTTATGCATGTTAAGCTCAATTGGTTTGCATTTGTTTAGTCTAGCATAGATGTTAATTCATGTTGATGTAATCGAAGAAATGAAAAATGGTAAGATTAACAGTAAAAAATAAGCATCTAATGAAGTTGTGAGTTTAGGAATACCGCATTGCATGTTTAGTGATACGTCATATTAGAATTGCATTTAGTGAGAAAACATGAAAATTGGATTCCACTTAGTGTATCATTTGGTCTTGTGGAGGATGAGAGCATCCTTAGATAGACGCATGCTTGTTTAGATTCCGGCTTAACTCGTGGGAGTCCTGTCCCGGGGCTTAATAAGGTAGCAGTGTATATTCTTTGCTCGACATCATATTGTATTTTATATTTTCGTGCTTTATTATCATGTCGTGCTTGTTTATTGTTTGGATTATCACGTTGAATGTTCGCGGACAAATTTGTGGCACATACTCATTTAGATGGATGTGCCTAGGCATTAAAATGAACAAGATTGCATGATCAAAACGTTTTCGAAATAGCGAGAATAGGTACCAAGTTTGGGCACTAATAGACTTTAGCGCAATTAAGTCTTTGTTTTTGAATCTCTAATTCTCGGAAATTAAAATGGCCTTCTGTGTTTAACTAAGCTTCTAATCGGCCTCAAGTTAATATTGACTCCTAAAGGAAAGAGCAATAATCATCATAATTAATTGAGTCAATCAACGGCAATTGGTAGGATCTGGGAAAATCCAAGCTAAGTGCAAGCGACAACTCACAATAGGAACTGTTTGTGCGTACTTAAGTAATCCACACAACATTTGAGGCAACACAGGTCCTTCAACGCACATGACCAAATTGCCATCAGGAAGGTCACGTCATCGTCATGCATGACATGCTACAATTGGCTACACCATGACAGGATGTCAATCAAACTATGGAAAGCTCGGAGTAGGGCCCACGATATGCAAGCATGCATGTAATTCTATCCTCTATAGGTACATTGAGTAAAGTTATATTCATAAAATGAATAATATGATCTTCAAATTCATTTTATTCAAGAGTCGTTATAATTCACTTTGAAGAGCCGCCTAAATTTGCAAATAATTTCACTCGAATGCACTCTCTATTGACCTAAACTTTTACTAAATGTCGTATCATATTTTCTTGTGGAATATTATATCTAATATTTCCATTAAAGTAAAATTTGTAACAAGCTTATATGGTTATAATAATTTACTTATGCGCCATAGCTTTCCAGAAAGAATAAGCAACCACCAGTATGACTAATCGTAATTGTACTAGTAATAGCAATAAATGTCTCGTTCATGTTACACCTAATCCATGACCTAATCGATCGGGCGGACTTGTAGTGTACACTTTGGACCTGACAGCAACGCGAGCAATGACAGCGGTAGGCAGCCCCTCTCCTCGAGCACTGCAGCGAATGAAAAGTCTAGTCAGTGTGTTCTTTCGTTCTATACAAGTGGCTCCTGCTTTTAGCCTTATTTCACCACAAAAAAAGGCATTCTTGAGTTCAAATTACCAGAGCTTCAATGGCGGAGGAAGTGATATTGTTGGACTTCTGGTCGAGCCTGTTCGGGATAAGGGCCAGGATTGCCCTGAGAGAGAAGGGCGTGGACTTTGATATGAGGGAGGAGGACCTTCTGAGCAACAAGAGCCCCCTGCTCTTGGAGACGAACCCGGTCCACAAGAAAATCCCCGTCCTCATCCACAATGGCAAGTCGGTTTGCGAGTCCCTCGTCATCGTCCAATACATCAACGAGACCTGGGGTCGCGAGTCCCCTCTCCTGCCTTCCGATCCTTACCAGCGAGCAGTACTAGGGGTGTCAATGGGTCGGGTCAGGTCAGGCTTTCTTGATACATGACCCGATCCGAAACCTATAGGGTCATGCGTGACCCGCCCAGACCCACTCGAGACCCAGTTCACCGTACACCCCAAGGCCCGGGTCGGGTCGGGTCGGGCCGAATTTTGATTTTTTTTTTTTTTTGTGCAGATAGATTGGAATTGTGAACCCGCCGCAAATACAGAACCGAATTATCAGATGACTAACCAGGTTAGGTTGGTTCTGTTCTCTTATTTTTTCTTTTCATATGCACAAGACGGAAAAATGATAATAGAGACGATTTCCAACACTACGCCAGAATCTCTTTTCTTCCCACTCTCACTGTGTGAGTACCATCGTAGAACAAGTTTTGTAGTACAAAGTAACTAAAAAAAAAAGAAAGAAACTAAAACAATACCATCGTAGAACAAGTTCTGTAGTACAAAGTAACTAAAACAACATTAACGGACAGCAATGACTGGAATTTTTTCACTCCTAAGCAAGATTGGCTTGCTTCCAATTACTAATACATCATCATGGGTCGACATTCCAAAGATAAAGCTAGTGCAAAAGGGTTGGACTCCGAATTTCTTTTCCTCGTCGATGCAGTGCCGCCTGAAAGTGGATTGTTCTAGAAGATTCAAAAGCAAGATTGATTCTAAGATTAGTTCATAAGAAAAGGGTTAACAAAGATCTGGCACCAGACGTTGCTGAACTAGAAGTGGTAGGTGAGATATCATTAAGTTTGTTGCTAGTAAGGACTAAAATTGGCTTTTGTTCACCCTGAGTCTGTCAGAAGTCGATGTTCTCAAGAGGTCACAAGGGAAACAAGAAGATAAGTGCAGCAAGAAGGACAAGAAAATTGAAGATTCCATTGAGAAGCTATTTGTTGGTTGAACATAAACCAGCTTGCTAAAGCAGATTGAGTTTGAGGACAAAATGAAAGACCCTTGAGACAACCTACAAACTCAATTTGCCCAGACACACTGGGATATTTGTCTTGATATGGTTTAAAAGATGTCAGGTCCGAGGTTAGTGACCAATAAAATTAAATTTAAAGGGGCATGCACAAAAGAAAACTTGATTAGTTAAGCATATAACAGAGACCGTGTCGATTCATTGCACTTTTTCTTGGATGATTGTATGCATATGATGAGACATATATATCCTATGTAAGCAGTATGAGTTTTTTATGCGCGCGAGTGTGTGAATATATGGCACTAGATCACTTGACATACGTGTATTTCTTTTGCTACAAGAGAGAGTATATTATTAACATGTATGGTAGCCATGTGTAAAGCTTCGATTGGGGAATTAAACAAAGCAAACAACCTTGTGTTGGATGCCATAGTTTACCAGCTATTTAAATAGTTTTACCATACTTCTGTTAAAACTGTAGTAGTCCAAACACTATATAGTAAAAATAGGTCCCAAGTCATTTAGAATCTCGAGTAAAAACTGACAAGTTACCTAAAATGGCAATCTCCAACTTCATCAATCATCTAGAGAAATTGATATCGAGTTTGGCTCCATGGTTGTAGTTGGCAACTCTGCATTAAATTCACGATGAAAATGAGAATTAATGTATCCATTGAAACATAGAAGGGTATTAATATTCTACAACCATATTTTTTCGCCTGACTCAAAGATTTCGAGTTCTTCTAAGTCCTCTTCAATCGAACGTGAAAGTGGCGCGGATCGTAATCAATCTTGAGCACATATAAGAGCCTCCACCATGTCTGGGGTTAAAGAGCTACGAAACACATCAAGCACACGACCTCCTGTGCTAAATGCAGCCACTGATGCTACAGTTGAGACGGGCACGGCCAAAATATCTCGAGCAATGAAAGAAAGGATGGGATATCTTGAAGAATTTATTTTCCAACAACTTAAGATATCAAACTCAACGCTATAACGTTCACATCCTTCTTCCAAATACTTGTCCAATTCAGATTTTTCTTCTAAATATTGTTGTCCGGTTTCACTAAGGTACATTGCAGTCATAATATCAGCACTAACCACCGGAGACTTTGACACATTAATCATCCTTGTGCTCTTTAGCCTCAAGTTGCTTTGGGGGCATACACCAGTGCGGTATTGCTCGAATAAAGACGTCAGAGATGTTATTACTTTATCTTGTAAAGTTTCCGCCTGCTTGCTTTCATAAACACAGTTAATCATCCACTTCACATATTCCCACTTATGCCGCAGGTCAAGTATGCAAGCAATGAACAAAGTAAGATTGATGTTGTTCACATTGCCAAAATACTTATTGCATTTGATCTTCATTCTCTTAGCCATTTCCTGTAAAGTCGAGTCCTCATTTTCACAACATCTGTCAATCATGATATAAATCCCATACACATCCTTTGCCATATCATTACTAGTGACATAAGAAGAACCCAAAACTTTTAAAGTCGTATCAAAGAATAACTTCAGAAAAGGAAGAAAGTGACGGGCATACTCCCAATCATCACTAGTGGGCAATCCTTTCACCTTGGAAAGCTCTTCAACAAATTTGCCATTATGAAATTCCAATGAGCTAAAAGCTGTTTGAAACTTCAAAGCTGCTTCCAACATTATATTCGAGTTCCAACGAGTCTTGACATCCAAACATACAAGACTCTTGGACTCAATTTTCTCTAGCTCAATACAACCTTTAAACCGTCTCAACCTTGCAGGAGAAGACCTCACATAACGCACGGCCGAACGTATTCTAACAATCGAATCATTTATGTCTTTCATTCCCTCTCTCACAATCAAACTCAATATATGAGCACAACAACTCATGTGGAGCAACTCACCTCTCTTCTTCAAATATTGAATTCTTAAGTCATTTGAGCTAGCATTATCCACGGTGATAGAAAAAATGCTTTGAATCCCCTAATCAATCAAGCATTTCTCAACCACTTTTCCTATTATCTCGGCAGAATGACCCGGGATTTGACAAAAATTTAATATTTTCTTATGCAGCTTCCAATCGGCATCAACAAAATGAGCATTGAGACACATATAGCTCAAATTTTGACAAGAAGTCCATGTGTCTGTTGTAAGACACTCTTGGAGATGTCTCCAAGAAATATTTCTTTAACTTACTTCTTTCATCCTTGTATAAATCATAACATTTGTGCCTCAAAGTGTTGCGCGACGGGATTAAGAAATTTGGCTGGATTTTATTCACAAATCGCCGAAATCCCTCATGCTCTACCAACTTAAAAGGCAATTCATCAAGAATAAACATGATCGCTAATTCTTTTCCACTATCATCTTGGTCAAATTTCCAAGGACCCGAGTTACTTTTTTGCCTTTTCTCGACATTTGCATATGGGAATTCCTTACATCTAGCTAAATGACGATGCATCGAACTGGTCCCTTGACCACTAGCACAACCAATACATGTCCCACAGTATATATAGTCAACATTTTCTTCATCAGGAATATGTTTAAAGTGTTCCCATACTGAAGATCTCGTCCTTCTTTGTGTCACACTAGAAGCACTTATCTCAAACATTTAGCAATCATTCTATCTATGACACTTAGAACCTGGAAAGTATTACTATAATCAGAAATGTAGTCCTCAACATACTCTTGACAAATACAAATGGTGTAGTAATGCCTTCTACAGTTCATGTACTTGCCAACATATTTACCAACTAGGTTCTAGAGTAGATAAACCATGCAAATCTAAAAAATCTGAAGTAGGAAAGTCTTAGATAAACCATCATCATAACATTTTCTGTTGTTAATTGAACAAAAAAACTCACCAAATTTTGGTAGAAAAAGATTAAATGTTCTGTTATTCCAGGTTACTATTGGTGTTGAAAATCCCTAGCAAACCCTTAATGCGGCCCAGTGCAACGGGGTACAACCTAACAACACACAATACAATAAAAGTACCATATTAGAAACAATGATTGCTCCCATTCTTAGCATTAAAACTTGCTTTGATCGAATAAAGTGCAAAACCTAATACAGCATGCCAAAATCACAGTGTCACAGATAGAAAAAGCCGAGAATCAAGATTTTTATACGGACTAAAAAGAATAAATGAATCATAGTGTCACAGATTCAGAATGGGTAGCTCAAATGAGTATGGTGCTGTTGTACTAGAAATGATTGACGCTGATATGGTGGAAATGTCTATCCAGGTTCATCTATCTGCAATTAGGAGACATGCAGAAATGAAATTATGGTAATAGCTAGGTCAGCTTATCATGCACTAAGGTTATTTCTCTAGAGTCTTTGAAGCAAATTACAAAAAAAAAGAATCAAGTTCAGTTCATTTCCACTGAAACCCTCTGCTTGTAGAAAGTCTTTCAATCTCACTGTCTAGACTGATTCCAAGACAGCTTAATAGATTCTCCGAAACAAAAAATTGAAACAGTTATGTTATTCTTCAACCGCATATGAATAGGCTCTATAACTACGATATCAACCAGGAAAAGGGTAAAACTAGGTCAGGATCACAACAACAAGAAATGCGTGCAGTAGATTCGGGAGGTAGGCCTGTTTGTTGCAGCTTATTACTTCTACTTGTGACTTTCCCTCCAAAATTTTGAAGAAGGAAAAGGATATCTCGAGTTTCGAAAAATTATGGAATATCATGTGTAATTCCACATGTCAATCGTTGAATTTTGAAAGGTTTGAGGTGTTTCGCATTAACAAAAGTCAAATTATGAGAGGTCCAAGATAATGAAATTCCGATCAATTAAATAAAAAGCTTCATGTTGACACCTAAATTTTGGCGTATCATTTAGTGTAATTTGCATAGAAAATTAGGGATTAAATTTTTAACCCCTAAACAAAAATATTTAAATTGCATAAACATATAGTTGAGGTCCATTTAATTTAATTGCATTTTTTGCATCAGATTGGCAGTGGCGAATGAGCTTAAAATTTCATCGAACGAGACTCGGCTCGCTTAGAAGGCAAGGGTCGGGAATTACAAGTCAAAAGGCTTTGGTTGTTTTAATTTGAGCTTAAATCAGCCC